AAATTGTGTACGAAACGTTATCCTGTAAATGTTACTGTTTCACTGTGTGATGTTTCTAATAAACAGACTGAAATGAAAGTTGAATAAGATACACTCAAACTCTGATATTTACTAGATTTTAAAAATTAAGAGAAAATGGTAGTTTAACCAGTCATACGATCTTCTGCGGGGTTGTGACTTTTTGCACTGAATCCAAGCTCTACTGAGGGTATTCTGCCACCAACACTAAATCCAATGTAAAAATTGGAAACTGCGAGCACCAATAAAAATGACGCACCAATAGTTGTGTAATAGTAATAATAGTACCATATCTGTAAGGAATACCATGATCAAGGTATTATTAGGAGGTGTTATAATGCTTGATCATTTCTAAATGAGAATTTATTTTATTCATTATTTTTCCTACCTTTTAAATTTCCCCTCTTTTGAATTTCCCTTTCGTAAATTTATTTAGCTTATCGGATAACAAGTTGTTGACCAGAAGAGTTTTTTCTCGCCTGTTAGAAGCTGGCCAGTTACTAAGATACCAGTTAGATAACTAGACACCTGTCAGTCATTTTTTCTCAGTAAGTTAAATAATACTGATAAGGATATATCAAATTTAATACTGAAGCATCACAGCTTAGATGTGTTTGTTTGTCGTACAGAACGTCATGTGGTGACAACATTCACAAAATATTGAGGTTATTGTATCTTTAACCTGATTATTGTTATTTTTATTCAAAAATTGCCTGTGCAATTATGTTAGTAAAGAGCTTATGGACTGTGGTAGTTAACAAAGCACACAGTGGGACAATATTATCTACTGGATAATTCTTTGAGCACTATTTACTGCTCATAATCACAGCATTGTAATCACTGATAGTATCATTTTGTGTGTCTGAGATCGGTGTTCAACCATTCTTAATGTGTTGGAATCGGATATTTTAAACTCAAGAGAATTCAGTGTTATGTAGAAAACTCTGTTCCTATATATTACTAGACAAATTATAAAATACCTGGCTCACTGCACAATGGAGTGAACCAGGTGTCGTCTCAATTTCTGTTATCATTTCATTACAATTCATTTTCAATTATTTTTATGGTTACTGTCAGACTATTTCTAATTTCTTATAGTTTGTGGAAGATAGTTGAATTTGGTCGAGCAAAGACACTATGAAATCATTCAGCACAAGTTCGTCGCGAATTAGTATTAAACTATGCGATTATGCTGAGTATCATCTAGTAAATATCAAAATTATTTGATATCGGTTAGATGAGAGACTGGAAATATTTTGAAGGATTCAAATAGGCATAGTAAGTAACTGTATACCTAATGGGTGCTTTAACACACTTAATGACTTACCATTATTTGGAATTCTCAAGGTATGGTACTCGGGTATCCAAGGCTTGAGTGAACACATTGCTCATTTATCGAGAGGATCAATTTGGACAGTGGATTTCAAGTCGGTGTTCATCATGGACTGACATCATTTGGAGAGTCATTGAAAACCTAGGAGCACTGGGAGGCCGCCTCGTCCTAATATGGGACTCCTGGGCCGTGAGGATGCACAGTCACACCGGTTGCCCAAACGCTTGACTTTCAGGTCTCTTGGTGAGCTCACTGCCATTGAGTCACTCGATTAGAATCCAATGAGCCATATTTTTCTACTTAGTGCTCATTACTAACTTGCTTTGAGATGAGATTTCCCAAGGTTCTAATGAGAAGTAGTGACCAGCGAAGCAAACCAAATTGGACGTAGGAATAAGTACTGAACAATGCCATTGGATGAAAGTTGTGCTATATCATGAACTGACAGAAGTAAGAAAATATAAACTAATGGATTATGACCCAGTAGTACAATGGTGACCTGCTAACCGTGGAAACTGAACGTACAGGGTTTGAGCTCTGGCGCGGTCACGGGTGTGATCCACTGAGGAGTCCCATACTAAGACAAAACAGTTTTTCATAGCTCACAAGTTTCCAACGGCTCTCGACATGATATCATTCCATGATGAGTACCAGAATGAAATCAATGAAATTCCCACACACCTTCAAATTGATCTAAGCACTTAAAATTATGAATACTAGCCAGTCGATGGTTAGAAACAGTTAGTATGTATGCCTATATAACAAAGTGTCATCTAAAAATCCTTGATCTACTCAAATATGGCAACATATCGTGCAGGAAAAACATTCTACGCTTCTTATACAATCCAACTCTAGACCCAACAACTGCAAGTTTATTATTAATACCAGAATTTTTAATGGTGAGTATTCAGCTGGTCATGAAGCATCAGAGAAGTTATCTAAGAAGCTTTGTTGTATAGTAGTTGAATGAACATTTTGTTATTGTTAATAACTCAGATTACACAATGTGAAAAAGGAATGAACGAAAGTATGAGTAGTGGGTATGGAAGACAAAAACTGAATGTGACTCAGTAAGTTATAATCACAGTTGATAAAAAATGAAATGAAATATGGGGTTACTCATTCTATTACTGAGGTAGATAGAAGTGTAGCTTTTCTGAATATCAAAGTCAGGTTTCAACGTTCTGATTTCGCTGGCTTCTGCAGAGTAGATGATTGTGAAGCTACATTTTTTACCATTGACTTCTGATGTATTTTCTACTTCTACAACGTGTTGTATATCAAGTAGATGTGGTTAGTGATGGAATTTCTGAAACTTTTTCACCAAAGTTTGTAGAGATTGGCATCCCTGCCCTTCCAAACCATCTTCTTTTGTAATTTAAAGTACGCTGGTTAATACAGTCAAACGTAACACATGATGGCTGTTTGTCTACTTTCGTGTGGAATTACTGAACAGTATTTTTCTCTAATAAATAGGTATTATCATTATTGTGAACGTCCTATTAACTGGGGTTTTTTACTTCTGTTTGAACATGTTTTTGGTTCCGTGAAATTTTAACAGATTCTTAGTTTTAGGTTGTAGTTTACCACTGTACATCCTTATGAATTTCTAAGGGTGGACATTGTCTCAAAAATACTACCGTATTGTCGTTTACTCTCCTAATTTATGCGTGAAGAATAATGTTTTGACTCAGTGAACCTCGTTTGCGACCCGTTTCAAGAGATGTGTGCAGTCGATATGATACCGATTTCAAGTGTCATTTCGGTAAGTAACTTTCTGATAGTCTGTATCATTTTTAATCATGTGATACACAAGTTCGAGAAAATGACTACCTATCCGTTCATTTATTCCACTCTGAATTCAATGGGTAGATCATGTGCATCAGATACTTGTAATTCATTGTTCACATGACTTGTTTCTTTGCACATAATGACAGCATCATTCACATATCTTGTATCTCGTCTTTTTGATTCCTGACGCTAGCTTCGCAGTCAAAGGTAACAGTTAAAGCAAGCCATTTCTGCACTTTATTTTTATGCTTATTGTGATTACAACTAATTGGTACTTATCAATTTACTGGATATAAAATTTTGACATCATTAGCTTGTATTTAGTGGGACACAATGAACCTAAACTGACTAAATTCATCACATGGCGTGGGCATCTTTGTTGCTTTACTTAAACAGCACTTTCTCTTCATGAAAAGAAGCACAAGTCTGACAGCATAAGAGATCATTTACCTATGACGAAACTCGCTGAACACCTCTAGGCAGTGTGGAAGAATCACAAGAATTATTCTACCATTTGGTCATTTTAGAATAAGGCTATCTAACAGTAACGATCATTTCACGACTCGGTCCCTTGATTTACCATCAAAAAAATATGCTGTTATTCATGGCTATTCCCAACACTTAAAATTGATCAATCTTCTTGCTGGGGAGGTTCTTTCTAGCTTTAAATCCGTTACCAACCATCCACTTTCTTAAAGATAAAAGTAAATAAATATAATAAGTCTAACTTTAGGAAAAGTGCATACGTTTTATTTTCAGAAAAATATAGATGTGACCATTGAAATAATAATTTCAAAGTATGCTTATATACAAGGGACAAATTTATGCAAATAAATACATTTTCAATTGTGTACATATGTAAGTGTTCATAAGCAGATATATGAATACTTTTAAGATTACATGCAGCAGTAAACAAGGGTATAACAGTGAAGGAATAGCCAAAACATTTAACTCATCAGTACTAGATATTTCATATATATATATATATATATATATATATATATATATATATATTTTCTTCTAAGAATAAAAGAAAAGCCTGAATTTCTCCGAGAATATTAAAATATAGTCCTAATACATTAGATAAACATTAGATGAAAATACCACTTGATACTTATATTTTGCATGTGTATAATAGAATGCCTCATGCAGTAGGCTTCCTATTGTTTAGCCTAAGAAAATGAATCATTTGAAGTCATTGACATGAAAATTGCCAGTATAATCGTCTACTGTCCCTTGTTTATGCCGTTATCTTGGCATCATTATCACTAGTTTCTTCATAATTTATTTCTCTCTAGAGATTCATAAAAATGAGCTTAATCAGTATTACAAAAAGATTAACAAAATTGTAAAATGTCTGACTCTATAATATTTTCAAGAATATACCTGCAATGACAAAAAGAATAACACTCAATTTTTTAATCATTTGACCGGACATATAAGTTAAACTTGATCGAACTTTCAAAAAGCCGGGAAAAAAAGTTTTAACTCCACTAGTATAAGATAGGGAAAAATATTGAAAGTGAAGTCACCCTAATTTTATTACCTTCCATCCTTTTTCAGACAAAAAAAAGGCGAAAAATGAATTTCACTTGTGTGTGTGTTGATTTAGTACAGGGATGATAAATACCATTTCATTGCCTTTCAGATGTCTTTCTTAATTTGAAAACCTTTATATATGATCAGTTAAAAGTATCACTTAGACGAATATATGACGCAATCCTCAATTGCTACCAGATACTCGATGAGGTAAATAATACTTATAATATTTCACAGATGTATGACTTGAGAAATTATTAGAATGGTAATCGAGTATGAAGTAATAGTATAGTCATAAAAATATAGGTCCAAATGCTGTTTACACTGCTAATTTGGTTTCTTGGGTTTCAGATAATGAGTTAGATTTTTGTGAAGGCTGAATATTGACTGAACGATTGTGAATATGATTGCTAGCTAGTGGAGGTAGCCCAACACCAAGGCCATTTCTCATCATTCGATTCTGTTTAGATGCAATATCAGTATCACTTTCTGATTGTCCCCTTAAGTCGATTCTTAATGGTGTTTGAATTGTGTTTGATGACTGTTCACTGAATTGATCATCATTTTGCTGTAGACTATTATGATTGAAATTAGGTTGTGAATTCATTAGCTCATTATAACTATGGGGTTGTGGATATGATTCAGAAGTATCTGCACTTATTGATGTAGAAGGCTCGTTATATTTTACTAGGCCTAATGGCATATTTGTTGCATAATTTCTACGCAGAGTGATATTAGAACCAGGCATCTGAGGACTTCTAGGTGGAGGTACTGGAGGTAGAGTGTGTTCACCTCGATTTTGTTGTTGTTCCATTGCTAAAGGCATTGTCTTTTGAGGTGATAAATGGGCTGGGTGATAAGCAACTGCAACACCATTACTGTGTCCATATTGAGCCACTGGTTGTATTACTCCGTTATCTGAAACCATATAACATGCGCATGAACCGCTGGGTGTGGTGTTTTGACAGTTTACTGAATGAACTTTCGACATGCTTCCAGTGTTATCTAAACCAGGATTTCTGTAGTACCCATTCTGCTGGTTGGCCGATATCCGGAATATGTGTTGTATTGGTATGTTCCATGTGGTCCAGATATATTCATCCCATCTAAAATTGAAAAATCAATTCTGATAAATTACTTGACCAAGTCAATGGAATAATACAAAGCTACGGATTTCTAACACATATTTCTTCCTAATTCACACAACTATATTGAGGTGCAATGTCTTCTGTCTCGTTCTTTAATTTATGAATTCGATATCGTCCGTAAAAAAGTACAATAATATGGTCTGCTGTTCAAGGGCATGGAAATTAAATTAAATTAATCTTCAGAATATTTCCAACATTTATCATGAAGGAACGATGAACATAGCGCGACAAGTTGGCTAACTTAATTCCCCGATTCCCACCCATTTATCTGAGCGACCCTTATATTCAACTCTCTGGGACTTAATCATAGCATTACTAAGTTAAGCAAAGATAAATGAGTTGAAAAGCTTAAAAAAAATTTATTTTATTAGTTATTAAAAGCCTTTTATGATGACATTTATGTAATAATTTGGTTTTTTATAATATAGAACTTTATACTGATTACTAAGCCTATACTAAATTTCTTATGAAACTACTATATAAAGAATATATCATACAATCAGCCTCTGATTTTATCTCTGCTTCTACGAATCACAGCTTACTTTTTGGTATTTACTATCGTCATTCAAGTTGGTTCAACTAATTGTAAAGAATCTTTACTAAACTCTTAGGCTAGGTTGGAAACTCGAAGTTATCTCAATTCTTTGCGTGAATGTTTCCATAACTTGATCAGATTGCAACTACTTTTTGTGAGCTAGTACTTTTCACTAGGATCCTAATTACTGAACCTCATGCAGAAATTCAGGTATCAAAGTAAAATTCGTTTTTGACATCAAGTCAAAATATGTGAAACAGTATAATTTTACTGCCGTAAACCGCACTTAGTGATGTTGAATCTTGAAAAAGTTGGAATTCGAGTTAACTTTTCAAGTCACTGCATAGTTTTTGATACCCTTTTAGACTGTAACATCAAAAGGTTATCACAGATAATGTTGTGGCGTGTAAAAATCGTCTTCAGCTAATGCAGACTGCTATTATTTGTTCTGGAAAGACCGTATAAGTCATTGCAACGCTAAATAAATCCCTTGATTCAGTCAACAACATGGAAGTTGAGCAAACGAAAAAACCACTTCTACTTTCGTAAAACTAACACCAAACTGACTGAAACAGTCAGCTGGTTAAGTGATTTTATTTCAGTAATCTTCTATATGAAATACACCTAAGGTTAAAAATACCTCGAAGTGTTTCAGTCTGTATTACAAATCAAGCTGATTTACTATCCTGTAATTTCAGCTAATTTCTTTTTGTTTGTTTATTTGTGTTACCGTATAAACAGGAAAGTTAAATCTTCAATATAAGTCTAATTTTGCATTGTACTTGTACGTAGTGATTCACTTCAAGTAGCAAAGGAACACTGGTGCATTTCGCTTTGTTTAAAAACAGTAGTGATTATTGAAAGTTACTGCACAGAGTTCGTGACTGCCAGAAGAATCGCTTCCTTGGTTGAATACAGGTTTCAGATATTGCCTATTTTGTCTATTTTGCTCCCTTCACTGAAACAACATTGTATTTAAACCACAGTAAAATGGAAAAGAATATCTGTTTTCAAAATTTCTATTTTACCAACATTTTTCCCAACATTTTCATTAGAATGTAACTGTTCAGTTTACTAACAGCACAAAGAAAATGTTGTATTCTTCCTCTTTCGATTGGTAGGAATATAGCTGCTGTTCAATATTTCACAAAATCGCACGACTGTGCACTTGCATAGGCATTGAAATGAAAACGAGTATTGAAGTTTTCCCCACATACAACCAATTTCTGATTCATCAACGTACAACATACATCAATAGGCAAACAAACTTCACAGCATTCATAAGGCAACTATAAATGTAACTGTAGAAGCATACTGACATTTCTATCTGCCAAATCGAAACATATTTCTTCAAAATCTGGTTTAGAAATCGAATAATCCACATTCAAAAATATTGTTATGATTATTTGCACTGATAATTGTTGTTTTCATAGGAAAAAGTGTACGCATGCGCTTTACGTGGGCGTATACTTTGTTCCTGTGCATAGATACACAAATTTCATATATTCATCTCTTCGGCATTCACTATACTAAATGAATTCTCTGGTGAATCATGAAAATGATAGGTGAATTTTATCTGATCGAAAGAAGAAATGTTTATTGACGAAGATTATGCAAATGTATAAATACTTTTAACTGTAGACAACGACTGAACCGAGATCAGCATACTTTTGAAATGATGGAAAAAATTTGTAGCTCAGGATGAAAATGATGGTGGTCTAACGTTTTCTGATTTATCATATTTGATCATGAACGTTTCAGCACTGACTTTATAAAGACTTCTTTATTAAATTAGTGCTCAAGATGTTACCAAGCCTGGTAATGAAACATTCAGGACAAAATATTGAAGCTTACAGACAACCAAACCATCAGCAGTAGCACGCTTTATTCTACTTAGGACGGTATAAGTTGGTTTTCACTTTGCTATGAAATGACTTGCCAAGTTCCAGGAAACTTTATAGTTTCTTTCCTTTATTTAAGGTGCTGAAACATTTCATGTTTTGCATGCCATCCTGTATTGAAACAATAAGCAAAGTTTGCAGTGGGAAATTTAACTCTTAGTCTGTCTGAAAGAGTTGAGAGTGAATCATTAGCTTTCTGGTATACTTATTACCAAGGTAGGTATTAAAAATCATCTGTCAGATAGTGTCTTACTTCTTCAGCAAGTATGTGCTGTCGATACGATTCACGCATTACTTGACTCAAAGCCCTGCGTAATCCAAAGTGTTCTGTTCAAGAAAAAGGAATTCCTTCACTCCTCTAAGCTGGTCTCTAAACTCACATTTCTGCAGGCAATGACCGACAGAAATATAAAACAAGTTGTACTTTAAATTGAACGAGAGAAGGAACTTTCTTACACTGGTTAAAGATATTCTTAACACTTCTAAAGAACTTGTAAACTATATTCATATTAACTTACAAAATGAAATGCATTTCTTAAATGTGTAGATAAAAGGAATGTTCTATTTAAATTTCGTATTAAAAACTTGACACATTTATATGTAGTCATCCTTGTCGAACAGATAAACATTTACTTCAGCTAGTCAAATACTCTGAATATATAATGAAAGGTTGGTGGATGTGCAAGATATGTTAGGAATTAGTGTTCAAATAAGTTCAAAGACACAGTAATTTAATCATAATCATGATTCATATAAGATGAACGAATTTATACATGTTTGAATGTAATCCTTTACGTGAGGTCACTTACACACAATTATTTGTTGGTAGGTAGGCTACTGTAAATCTTTTATCATATATATATATATATATATATATATATATATATATATATATATATATATATATATATATAAGTAGCTTGATAAATACGTAAGAATAATGAGTTGTACATTCTAGATTTCATTTTCATACTATGCTACTCTTGAGTAACATGGAGCGAAAGTTTAATTTTATTAAATTTCACTTCAAGTTAGACGGACTAATTAATATATAAACTGCTGTACAGTAATTTGAAAATATGAAAGTTGTCAACAGAGTAGTTAAAGTTTAATTAGCAAATGATCTCTAAGACACTTAAGTGTAATGAACTAGTGAAAGATACTACTACTGAACAAAATGAGTAGTTATAAGCCACACAGGCTAACTTGTAGTACTTCACTAGCCAGATTAAAGTGATCTAAACGCCGAGTAGCCCATTGAATTCCAGCAGAAACAAAGTTGATACCATAGTTTGGCAGTTGAAAAACTACTCCAGCTTCAGAAATGTCAAGATGGATCCTGCAATTAGCAAACCATTTACAAATTGATCATTCTATTTTAGGTTTACCGGTTCATACACGCCAGGCAACCTGATTCTGGTTATCTGAATAAATTCAGTTGTATATCCTGAATTTACTTAGGTACAGCGCTGATGATATCAGTCCCAAGCGAGCGAAGTGGTCATCCGGTGTTTAGGTTAATCTGATATGACTGGGCTTAAGTGGTCACAACTACTCAGTTGGTTCATTAGTAGTGCCTTTTGCTAATATAAGTTTAATTTATGCAATTTAGTATGGTCTTAGAAGTTGTCACGTTTATTTCCTTTCACCTAATTTGACAATCGCTCCCTGATTTCTCATGTTCATGTTCCCTGGCAATAATGGTTTCCGTGGTTTTTACTTTGACTTTCCACAGATTTTGAAATTTCTTAGTCTCAAGTTGCGCTGACCAAGTAGCAGTGCATGTTTCATCTTACAGGGGAATTTACATAAAGACAATCGCAGCTGCTTGCTGGTTGATTGCAAGTCAGTTACCTCTAAATCGAAGTTCACTTTCAATGTATTTTTAGTATACGTCTAACAATGAAGCTAGTTTCGACTCATTTGATTTGGTTTGATTGAGTTAGTACTAGTTGTAACGCAAAGTAGTCGGAATACACTTTATTACACTAGTTATTGTATTGACAATCTTTGCATCAAGTGCTATTTATGAATATATTAGCTGCAGTTAAATAAAAAGAAGAGGCTTCTGGTATCCACAGCACCATCTTGAAAGTGGTAATACTGACAATGACAGAAAATAAAAACCCTACTATGCAATTTTAAAAAAGACTATATAAAATTTTTATTCAATTATTGACGTACTTCGATAATTGTCTGTTAATAAAAACTGGTTGCCCTCCTCAGATGGACCTCTCCCAGAGTCACCGCTATCTGCATCTAAATGAGGTTCGTAGGCTAAAGCACAACCGGATGATGCTGCAAGTGCAGCTTGTCCAACTGAACCACGTGTTCGTGTCAACGTCTAAAATGTAAGAAATATCATATGCAATCTTATTGATTTCTCTTTCAGAAGCTGAAGGTATTTATTAGTGCATCTTAAAGGCGGTGAGAAGTTTGTGAATATTATAAAATGTGCACTTTGCTTGTTTACATTTCAAGTGACTTTAGGGAGTTATTTATTCAAATGTAGAGTCAAAAATGATTTCCATTAGAAATTTTTCATAAAGATTACTGTTTATTGCTGACACAAGATGCACACTAACTTAGGAAATCTTCTAAAGAATAACATGAACATTCCTAATCTTACTGTTTCGTTTTTCATACCATAGGGCTTCAGTTGTTTCAATAATATTTTAGAACGCTGCCTGAAGAGAGAATAACTAATATGCAAAGAAGTTACTATCTTAATCCTCGATCGTTATAACACAGTATCTGATAAACAGACTTTAGGTTTCAGAGTTTATCAGCTGATACACTAATCGTTTTGAAAATTACTAGTATTGACTTGTGAAGAACTAGAAAACACTTGGTTAGCTCTCTACTGTGTAGATATAGATCACTGACATAAGGTTAAATCTACATTCCTAACATATGATACTATGGATATCATTGCCAAGTGTTAAAAAAAATCGGAATCTATATCATTTAAACATATTCATGTGAAAACTATGTATTCTTACTTCGAAAAAATGAAAAGTATGAGAAAAATTCAAATGAATCTACCTGAATTACTGTGACGAACACCTGTGTCTCATTTCCTTGGAAAAAAAATGTATCTATACTTAGCAATAAAAACAAACCAGGTTGAAAAGACTGAGAACATTAGTTTTCCTCCTATCAACTAATCACTATTTGTATCTTGAGCAGTAAAATTCCTAAGAAGTAGAGGATTTAGTGAGCCAAACAAAAATTGAACTTATGCACCCGAAAACTATAAATTAGTTGTTATTTTATCTTCTTGCTCAAATAACTTTTCATTCTTCCATCCGTTAGTTGATCATTCCCTCTTGTGTATTATTTAATATACATACTTAGTCGTGCGGATAAATGAATCAACATAAATAACTGGTCATTTTTACTTGTTAACATATCCATCCACTTTGATTGATCAATTTTCAGAGTTTTATTTACTTATTCACTCATTCACTAACTAGCATTCATTTAGGATTTTTTTACTATAAATCTTGATTAAAGATGATTTCTAGATATTTGTAGCTTTTTGGTAGAAAATAAACTTTTGCTTTAACATTACAGTTTGTTGATACATAAAGCAAGACAGAAGGTGATCTATAATTTGGTAGAACAGAATAATTCTGTGGAAACGATTTGTTTTCTCAGTTAATAAGATTTGCATAAACTATAAAAAAGGAAAATAGATTTAATTTTTTCGCTTTGTGTGACGTATTTGAGAAATTTGGTATGAATGAAAATGAAAAATGTTTTCAGATTTCATTGTTTACTTTTCTCAGAAGTGTGGACGACTTGTGATCTTTTCACTAGGACAAAAATCGTTTGACATTATTTTTCTTTTCGAAAGTTTTGGTTGTATTATGTTCTCTGAACTGGGTTTTTTAATTGTTTTACGGCAGACCAAAACTACACAACAGTTAGTTTTACTTCCAGGAACTCCAACGTACAACATGTTCACAAAACTATCGAGAAATTGAAACACCTTGTTCAGTCATGCAGACATTCCATCAAATCACCAACAGTATTTTCAGGAAAAATCAAAAGCAATGATATAGAAAAAGATGAACTGGTGGTATCCTTTGGTGTCATAGTATGATATACATCAGCTGAACCACAATTGGCGAAGGAAACTGTGTCCCTTCTGCATACTGAAAACATAAGACTTTCAAAAGGCACGAAACTTACATGTTCAAGTCGATGAGACTCACTGATCTTTGGCTGACAACATTTTTACAATTTAATGGCAAGATATACAAATGGATGGAAGGAACCCCAATGGGATCACCGATATTCAGATTAATTGCAAAAGAAGTGATGCAGAGACTGGAAGCCATCATCTTACCTGTGATTAAACCAAAAATCTGGATTCACCATGTCGACGATTTCTTTATCATTATCAAAAAGCGTGATTTAGAAAACACTTACCTTTAGATCAGTGACGTTCTCAGTGACGTCAAGTCCGCAATGGAGAAGGAATCAAACAACCATTCCTGCATGTTTTAGTCAGTAGGACAAATATCAGAAAACTGGAAATTCAAGCGTACAGGAAGCCAACACACACTGATTAAATACTCAACTACAGTGGCAACAGCCCAACAACGCACAAAATTAGTTGCGTGCAAACTCTATTCAAAAGAGCCAGTATACACTGCTGTACAACAAGTTCATGGAGAAAAGAAGAAAATTACTTGATGTGCATCCTAAGGAAACAAAACTTAATCAGAATATTCCTATTCCGTGCACCGTCAACTACAAAGTCATCGACAGAAATCAATAAACGCATCATCCTACCGTACATAAAGGATATATCAGAACTCATGACAAGATTACTGAGACCACTTGGAATCGGTGTAGCTCATAAACCAACAAATTCTTTTCAAACCATATTATGCGAACCAAAGGACGCATCAGCTAAGGAAAACAAACCAAATATAATTTACAAAGTCAACTGCAATAACTGTAGTCAACACTACATTGGACAAAGTAGCCTCTCTCTTCGCCTTCGTCTACATTGAGCACCAATGGGTTATTAAACGTCACGACATTTCGTCACTCATTTCAATGCACGTGGATAGTTATGGATATGAGTTGAATTTTGACGATTTTGAAGTTTTGGACAAAGTAAACACAAAAAATATCAGGGAATTCCTAGAAGCTTGGCATTCAGGTTGGTCAGCAATCAATAGGTGTATAGGCATAAACCCAATCTGTTAACCAATAAGAAAAATGACAAACGACAGGAAGGTCAGAGGTCAAGTAGAGGAACAGCTAACAATAAAATATATGCAGTCAGTGACATAGCACTCAAAGGAAACAAGTAATCACGAACCAGTTCGTCAGGACAAGCTACTGAATCACCCATGGATAGATACTGACAGCTCGCTTCATACTGAAGTCAGTGCTGATGATGTTGTCTAGAAAGACAATGAAAGCTCCACGACTAAGTAACCCAGCTCAGAGAACACAGTACAACCTGGATCATCCACCTGAGCTACAAATATTCTCCACTACCTCTTGAAAGTCTTGTACATATATTCAATACCTCACTGCAAACATTAGTAAGTTTGATGGTACGTAAAATACTTTGTCTCCACTAGTATTGTAAGGATAAGTTTCTGCTGTATCAAACAAACATGTCAGTGCTTCGTAAAAAAAGTAACATCACTGCTATTGCTTTTGGGATACCCGAGATATTTCGGCACCTGTAGACAGTGAATATTCTCAGTTGCCGAACTTTTGATTACAATCGTTTCTATGTTCACTGCAAGTGTTTCAGTCAAAACCTTACCATATATATATATATTGGATAAACATGCTAACTTTGCTCTTCATTATGGTTATCACCTGATTATCTCTCTGTAGTAGTCTTCTAGACATACAGAGGGATTTTTGACCCATATGACATTCTATGCTGGCTAAATGCAAACAGCTGTTGAAAAAGAAAAGAATATGCTGATAATCATTCGTGTGCTAAAAAACTTTTTTGCTTGCCTAAGTCAAATTCTTGCAAGCGAACATATTACATGAAATGACTCCCATAAACTGGAAAATATTCACAAAATGCAACCAGTTATTCTCAAGAAAAACAAATCCATGGAAAATCTCGAGAACATTTGAAGTGATATGAATTAATTTGATATATCCCCATATTTTGGTGTAAAACACGATCAAAAATGAATATTTTGATGTTGTTAAATATTAAACGTTTTAAGATTACTTTAACTAAAACAAGCCAATACAGTACTGTTCACTTTTCTTTCTTATAAGACTCAAATAAAATTTGAACAAATCTGATGACAATTCTGACTTCATGGTTGCCGTTTTATTCTGGAGAGGATACTTCAGTAAAAAATAACATGAAATCTTAAGTTCAAAATTTATTAGCAGAAAACAAACTATTATAATGATTTTATTTCTATGTTAAATCCGGAAAAAGATCATACTTTTAGGCATCTGAGAAGAGCAGAAAATATTGAATAGACTATTTAGTCAGGTTCAAAAAGTAAATACTTGTAATAAGTAGATTATCTAGATTAGGTTATACGATAGTTATTTGTAGTTATTTCTATCAAACAATAGTAAACACGTTATGCAACTTAAATTTTAACAGTGCTAATGTTATTGTTTCTTCAGCAAGGTGTATTAGTACATTTGGATACACTGAATTCTTTTTCATAATCATTTCTCTCCTGAGATGATAGTAATCAAGCGACAGCTGAGACCAACAAGAATTCGTTACATTTTGTACATCATAAAGGGGCATCATTATCTGGTTCAAACTTACTGAATTTGCTTTCTGAAGATGACTTCACAGTGTTTATACTGTCAGAACAGCTGGTAGTTACGCAGCTATATAAGCTTCAGTAATTTAGCTGACATAAGATCTTCTGCTATAAAGCATATATGCAGGGGAAGAAATCTGTGAGTCTTTACAAAACTGAAGACTGATAGACTATTCGGAATGATCTGTATGCTTTCATATTAGTCGGATAGTGTCTTACGGTGTGGGTAGCAGTTAATGAGATTATTTCGAGTCCTAATCGTCAATTCATGATTAAACTTCACTTTCTAAATGCCAGAGAACTTGTTAAGACTTTGGTATACAGCAGAAGGGAACTGGAAGTATAGTAGAACATATCGATATTATTCTGATTTAATGCTTGTTTCTGCTAGTTTGAAGTCGAGAAAGAGCAAAAAGGAAGATAATAAAAAAAACCTTACGACAAAGTAGTAAGTCAATGAGAAAGGCTATTTCGTATTTACTTAGCGCTCGATAACACAGATCTTTTCACTAAAAACCTTCATCAACCTTACTTTATGTAAACTTTCAGGCCTATATCTATATATTGGACATTAGGTAGGAAAATAAATCGATTTCCTATAGTCTATTAGAAAAGCTGGCGTGGAAAATATGACAGAATGTTTTCAGCATAATAATAAAAGTGATTTCGTCTGACATGAAGAACAAACAAACAGCGGTTATATTATAATGCTCACACGGATCCGTTATCGGCAGTCAAAACTAATAATGCTTTTCCATTCAGGAAATGAAATATTTTGGGAACTATCTCGCCCTGATAGATTTAATCAATTGATTCTGTATAAATATTAGATATTATGGCGGACGCTTGTATTAATATACTGTCAAAATATTTCCATAATTTAAGTTTTAAGAAAATGATTATTATATTTCTCTCATCGTATCTTGATGATAATGTTGATCTCTTGGCAAGCCTAAACTCTATACAGTACATCTGTCTGTTGTTCAGTATTTTTAGCTGTAACCGACTATATTTGTTTTCATGGATTCCAATAAGACAGATGATGTCGGAAGAAGGGAGTAAAGCCTTTACCCTTTTCGTACATAAAGCTGGACACATCACCGGATGACAAAGGTAGAAGTAAAATCTAGCCAGTCAGTCTGATGTTATACATCTACTGTTGTTTTACCAGTGAATCTGTTTAACCAAAAACTGACACTGAAACAGTCAAAATTATTTATAAAAGAGGAATGAGGGATCAGTGAAGCACTAGGATAGTGTATCCGAATAACATGTACACACTTATCATAACTAGAATATATATACAAACGGACAGACTGAATTTCAAATAGCCTTACTCATACTCATCATAACTTCTCAAATATACACACATGTTAACGGCATTACCTTGAACTCAATGACTAATAAATCGCTAACGACAACAGGTATTCCCGTCCTGTTGCTTTTCAGTCCGTGATTGAACAACATAATGTGATTTGGTCCCATTTAGTATTTCAGCATAAGCCACATTGTAAATGGATTTTGTCGCTAGAGAAACAGTTTTAATAGGCCGCAAAATCCTATAAGTTCATCATCATACTTCATTGAGCTTTTATAAATGCATTTCTTTTATAAATTAGTTTAAAGTCAATCTGTTTGGCTAAGGAACAGATTCATTAGTTATTCGTATTGTTACACTTTTTGCAAGTAAGCTGTATATACCGTTCAAAAGTGATTCGATGTTAGCTTGTAAATTTACAGTGAACATGGTGCTCACATAAGCTTTGATTTCCTCAGACTCCTTTTATTATAGTCTCATCATTTCATGATTAACAACTCATCATATTTACCAATGGCTTACCAATATAGAAAACAAAATGAATCAATGAAAAAGGTCACATATTTACGCTAACAATACCTTTCCCTAGTGGGGTCAACAAAGTTAAGGTCGGTCGAATCAACGTGTGACGAGAAAACTATATTCATTCCACCTTAGTGTATCATGTTTTGTGGTCTTTTCAACAAAAAATAATGGTAAATCCCAGTTATATTTTGATTTCGTAGCTGTAAACTTTCTTTCCTGAGCTAAAATCCTATTATAATGCGAAACATATATTTGTATCAACTAAATGGAGTCAGAAATACGAGATGTTAGTCTTAAACTGTAACCTAATTCCTGAATAAGACACGAACAGTGACCAATAAACCACAGATAATTAAGCAGATGTTAAATTTTGAATACTTTTATTCGATATTATTCACGAAGCCATATGGATTTCACCAGATGGACACACTAAAAATCAAATCGACCTCATTTCAATATGAAAAAAGTGGAGACACAGTCTACTGGACACAAGATCAAGAAGGGAAGCAGATCTAGGTTCACACCACTCACTATCTAGTACTAGGAACCTACCTTCAAAATCAAGTTGAAAGCGTTCAAAGGAGCTGGTGATGATAAACCATAGTTCAAGTTCAACACCCAGAAACTGAAGGACTAAACTACAAAGGACATTTTCATGTCAGCCATCTAGACAAAATGGAAATGTTAAGCAACATCTCTGAAGAAAAATGCTTAGAAGAACACTGGAACTCTTTGAAAGAGGTGTAGAAGGAAACCTCAATAACCATGTTAGAAAGGAATAAGAAAGAAGACAAGGAATGGTTCTCGACGGACAAATGGAAGCTTATAGCGGAGGGAGAGGAAGATGATGAATCAGAAGATGAACCAGTGCACAGCTTTTCAGGGAGGAACAACGAAAAGAGGAACTGAACGCAACCTATAAATCGACAACCACAACCACCTGCAACTCGTCCAGAAATACCACCAGCAGCCCAGCCACGAACTATCAGTGAACCAGGCTCCCTTTGGACTAAAGCAGAAGTGGGGTCCAGAAGGCCATAAAGTTGCTGAAAGCTGGGAAAGCAGCAGGACCAGCTAGAATTCCTACAGAAGCATTGAAAATAGACGCAGAAACATCAGTGGACATCCTCACACCACTACTACAGGAGGTTTGGAACGAAGGAAGCAAATAAATCTGCTGACTGGAAGAAGGGCTACCTTGTCAAACTCCCAAAGAAGGAAGACCTAAGTCTTTGCAAAAACTAGCGAGGAATCATGCTCCTGTCCACCCCAAGCAAAATAATAAGCCATATCATCCTAGAGAGACTAAAAAATGCTTTGGGCTCAGAATTACTACCGGAACAGGCTGGCTGGCTGGCTGGCTTAAGAAAAACAAATCATGTTCGGATCAAATTGCAACGCTACGCAAAGAAAAGAGCATAGAATGGCAGTCAACTCCATCGATTTTGAAAAGGCCCTCAACAGCGTCTACTGCGAAGTAATTTGGAAACTGCTTCAACATTACGGGTTTAGTCCCAAAAACCTTTATCAACCTCATTCAACAGCTATATGCTGTATGAGGATGCGACACGCCAAGTGATCCACAATGGAAAGCTCAACTCAGTGATTCTTTTAAAAGGAAGACAGGGAGGAGTAAGACAAGGTTGTTTACTATCACCGATGATCTTCCTGATTGTGGTCGACTGGACTGGACTGGATCATGCAGCAAAACTGTGCGGAGTATAAAGATGGGCATATGCTGGCTGGACCGATGTAAAGACCCTAGAAGATCTGGAGTTCCCCGATAATTATTTATGCCTAATGTCGCACAAACTAGAAGATCTACAGGTAAAACTAATAAGTTGGCAGAAGGGGCAGTGCAGTGAAGACATGACTTCAGTGAATGTAGAGAAGACAGAGGTGATGAAGATACCCAACCAACAACAACAGCAACAAGAGGTGCCAATCACCATCAACGGGAGAAATCTGAAGGAAGTTGCCTCTTTCATCCATCTACCTAGAAAGCATCATCTCAACTACAGGCGGGAGTATAGATGATGATGTCCAAGCCAGGATGGGTAACGCAGCAAGGTAGACCTTCATTAATCTGAAATAATCAGTGTGGAGATCTACTGCACTCCACTCAGCATAAAGCGTGAACAAGATCCGGGTTTTCAAAACTAATGTCAAGTAATTCAGTGCTTCTATGTGGTTGAGAGACTTGGTGCGTTACGAAAAGCATTTCCAACAAACTACAGACATACATCAGCAGCTACGTAAGCTTGATACTGAAGATCAGATGGCCAGGAAGAATAAACAACAAGGAACTCTAACTGAGTAACGAATCAACCAAGAACATATCGTCCAACAAATATGCAGAAGAAAGTGGAGATGGATTAGATTGGACTGGACATACACTGAGAAGAAGATTTGGGGACACTGTGCGCCAGGTCATAGAGTGGAACCGAAATAGGAAATGATGAGTTTGTCCTCCGAGGGTGACATGGAGGAGATCGTGTGGGAAAGAAATGAAAGCTTCTGGGCAGTTGTGCAGCCAGCTTCAAAAGACTGCGAAGAACAGAGTGAAATGGTGACGTGCTACTGAAGCCTTATTTTCCATTAGGAACCCAAAGGATAAATAATTATAATTTGATACAATTTCCAAATGGGATTGTTTACTGATTTCATCACATTATTGGTTCATAGGAAGCTGTACTAACGCTAACAAGAGATATTCAAGTGAGCAGTTTTTGGATGTGGGCAGACTGATATTTCTAATTAAGCTAACCTATATTTTGTGCACTAGGGTTATTTAACTTACCCCAAATGTGTGCATCTGATTTCGAGATTGATAGTCCGGGCTTGTTGGTGTGATGTCAACTGGAACTGGTGTCATTGAACCTCCCATAGACCCCATCATATTTGGCGTGGTTTGCGCCTGTGGAATATAAATCATGCTTGTTGTATCACTTGGTGACATAACAGCTCCATATCCCATCATCCCTCCAGGCCCATAAAGTGCAGTAAACATTTGACCATCTTCCATGATTGCACCTCCAGCATTAGGCTGTCCAGGTGTAAAGTGATTTGGACCATATGTTCCTACAGGCGACGACCAACCGCCATTGATATTTGTTGACATTGTATCTTTTGTCATATCCATGGAGAAGGTTGTAGTTGCATTCCCTGGAGAAACGGTTCCATCAGTGACATTTACGTTGCGTGCCATAGCATATCTTGTCGGTCTGCGTCGAACACAAACTATTCCAATGATCAAGAACAGTGATATAATAGCCGTCACAGTTATCATAGCCAGAATTATTGTTACATTTAATGTACCATCGCCACCAAAACTTAAAAATCCTATGCTTTCGCTAGGATCAATGAAAACATTTATTGTCAACCATGCATCTGTATGGGAACGGGGAGTTCCTTGATCTTGTGCACGTAAATGCAGGTTGATTGTACCTGATGACAGCGTTTGCGCCACCCATATTTCTCCCGTCGTTCCATTTAAATAAAGTGGACCTGCACGATAACCTTTTAAATCTTCTACCTTTGAGGCTAACTTCTGACCATATTTCACCGTTTTAACTACTCTGGGTTTAGGAGGATTGAGAACATTAAGTAAGCCTTCTTCAAGGCTGACCCCATCGATTGTTTCACCCCTAGGTCCAAGGAAGAGATATTCAACTCTGCCTGCTTCCAGAGCATCAGCATCTTCTGCTCTCAGTCTACCTGCCAAACTTCCAGGTTTCATTGCAGTGGTCAGATTGATTGTTCTGTCCACAGGTGTTGGAAAAACCCAAACTGGGCGTTATCATTTGCATCTTGTACATTTACTCTCAGCATTGTTGTACTTGCAAGTGGTTGGGCACCGCGATCACGAACACCGATTTTAAGGATGTATGAAGGTACTGTCTCTCTGTCTAGCTCTACTAGTGTTTCAATCCCTCCATTGGGCGTAATTCGAAATATAGGCTGATCAACTACATGACGTGTCATTCCAGCTTCACTATTAAGATCTGAGTTAAGATCTTCACTGAATTGTTCAAAGCCACTCAACATATTTGGAGAAGATCCAATGAATTGATTGCGTCTTGACACCTTTGTGAGGGCGTATGTGGCTAGTAACGAAAACTGCACCCGTCCATTATCGCCCTAAATAAATTGTGAAAAATGCAAGTAGAGAAATGTATGGACAGTCAAAAATACAGCTGTTCGAACATATGAAGAATAATGTGAAAATAAAAGGATAACTTTTCTAGAACACATTAGATAATTTCCTACTAATTGCCTTTTCAGTCAAGTGATAAAACTCGGATTCAGAAACAGTGACCTGTATATTTATCCCCATAGTCGAGTTATAAATTTGAGTAGTCTTATAAAAATCAAGCAAAAATTATGACATCTGAGGTGGAAACACTAATAATCTGAATATCACCAAAATCTTAAGGTTATATGACTACTGCTAACCGTAATATTTCACCCTAATAACTAATAAGATTGTGTATTCGGAGAGACCGAACATTCAGTAGGAACTGACCACAGGTTTGGCTTCTAAGGATTGGTGAAAAACCAGCATAAACCTTTCTTAGTGGCAACGGTTTGTGACTGTCTATTTGAACCCCGTGAGAGAACAATTTCCAATAATTATATAAAAATTTGTCTGAGGTTGGGATAAGTCTATGACACCTATTATTCTGTGGTATTTATTGAGGTCAAGTTTTCTAGGACATTTTATTCGAGATACTCATTACCTCATGTCTGGATCTATAATTACTATGATCCGTAACAAGGTGATATTAGGTCATCCAGTGTTCATGCTATCAATTAGGATACAACTGAATTTTGGTCCGTCAATCTGGATGTATGGATCTAAGACGCTTAAATTAGTTGGAAGCCCTTTATAACCGCGGGTATCCGTAGGCGTGAAGAATGCATACCGTATTCAGTTTTGCTAGTAGTTGAGGTGGAAACTAACAGATTATAAGCTAGAAAAGCCTGGCGATAATTTGAATATCTGGCATCGATAAGTAAAATCACTAAGTTTATAAGATCTATCTATCCATTGATGACTGCAGTACTTTTTCCCTCGTATCACTATTTTATTCGCAGTGCATTGGTGTTTAATGCCATCGTTTTGCAGTCTCTTCACAGTTGGCCAAAAAGTAAGGTTGGTTTAGTTGATCCTCGCTTCGAAACCGAAGTTGTTGAGGAATTTCAACTAATTCTTATTGAATGCATTAAGATAGATTGGTTTCAGCAAACGAGACCAAATTGCAGTTAAAAAACTCCATATACACACATACTCATCTCCTTCAATGTCATAGATAGCAAATTTAAGACCAATCTGAATGGTTGTCTACCTGAGTTATCGAATAACTGTAACCTAGTTGAATAACCAACTGCAAGCTATGAGTTTTTCATCACATTGGTTGAGCATGCTTTTCTATAATAGAAGTATTTTGTATTCTTGACGACTGTTCGTTAGTTTAATTTGATACTTAGTTAAAATAACCTACACTGGAGCTAAAACAATACCGTTAATTTGAAAATATTTCGTTATCAGCATGTTGTGTTTGGTGATTTTGTGATTATGCCTATCAGTGTCGTGTATTTACCCGGAGGGGATGCAGATTATAATTGTAGGTAAACTAATTTCGTGAGGCAATTAGAATATTACTGGTATTTAAGGTGACAATGGTGGGAACACTGCATACCAAGCATCTAGAATAGAACCGAATTCAGCCTTTGGTGTGTAGCTGTATTTTCTGATCTAGTTACGAAAATAAAAAAGGATGAAGAAGGGAACAACCAGCGCTCCTGCCCATTGTAGATTTAAGACAAATTAGCAAATCTTAGTTAGGCACCCAGGATTAAAACATATGTTAATTTTCCTTTTAGCATCTTGCGCTTAACTATAACATCTGTAGTAAATGAACAAAATCCAGTGACTTCAGACAATAACTACTCGTGAACTAGTCGTAACCTTCGGAGCCTGATTGACTACTTCCATTCAACTAGGGCGCTCAAGACAGAGAATGGCTAACACGTTAAACAAACAAATTTTACGCTATTCCGTGAGTAATGAGGCGTTGTTTCTGCGTTTTGAAATTTTTCACGTACAAAACAGTTTTCCTGCTTGGATTAGTGTTTATGCCTTTAATTAGACAGCACTAAGCACACTATATAAGGGATTGAAGCAAAAATCAGCCTAGTTACCCTGAACTTCCTTTATGTCCTTTTCGTTTAGTCATGTAATAAGATCTCGATGTAATGCTGAATGAGAATGAACGAGTATTAGTCTTTGGCTAGTTGGTTAAAAGTTATGCGGTGGAACAAATTTCAAAGTATTATATTTCAAGTGGGAAGTTTTATCTTGATTTATTTATTTATGACCGGACGTTTGTCGCCCTATGTTATGTCAGCAAGCAATTCAATTATATCAGTGAACTTGGTATTTTGATGCTGCTCGGTACACTTCTGCTTACATCGATAGACGTACATCACGGTTGATGAATTGTGGTTCTACTGATCTGATTATGATAATTTGGAGACGGGATTCGAAGTTAACCTCGTCAAATACTTTGCGTAAATATTTGTCTTTAGGTAGTATTGTAATCTTTTAGATCCTCCATAGATATTTGAAAATGTCTAAGAAAAATGGACTTCGATGTGGGATTTCTCGGATTCTCAATTCCAGTGAAGAATCATTCAAATTAGCATCATCTAAATCCAGATGATTCAAGTTGATGAATGATATATGCCAAGGCTTCAAAATAATATTCAGAGGGGTAATTTGACGGAATTCCTTTTATTACTACTCGTCAAAAGATAAGAATCAACTTTCCACTCACCTGATCTGGATCTCTTGCTTCTAGCTTCTGATTTAACTGAGTAAAACGTGGTGCATTTTCCATTATTGTAAAAGCGAATTTACTACTGTCACTTTGAGTCGTTTCAGGTGACCTTGTCGGTGGATTGGTAAATACAGGAGCGTTATCATTTTCGTCTAGTACTTCGATAGATACTGTTGTTGTGGCTGTAAAAATAGGAGGTGAACTTGAATCTGTTACAAGTACGACTAACGTTATACTTCCAATTTTTTCGCGATCTAATGGTATCTGAAAATGGAATATAGTAGAAAAAAGTGAGTAAATTGCGTCTCCAATGTTATTGATGTTATGAAAAGTCTATTCATTGAAGTCTGGTAACATGAGTCTATAAAAGTTTGGATGAATGAAGAACGATTAAAAAAAGTTTTTTTCCTCATTTTTTTTACCTAATAGGCTGAAAATACCTCGAGATTCGTTGAATCAAACTCTGAATATTTAAACTTCCTTATGGAACAGGTACGGCTGTGAACAGCACTGATTAATGAGTTTCCAAAAATTTAAATTCGATGTTCTTTTATAATTTTGGTTTCACTGATGTCTTTTATAATTTCGACCATGAAAAATAATCATGTTGACACATCAGTACTTTTTTCTGTAACATAAAATGTCCAGTTTGCACTCAGCATAGAAATATATTAACTAAGAGATAACCGAGAGATAGCTGTGTCATGACTCTCTAAAAGTTGAGTTATTTACTATCGATTAGTTTCAGGTTTGCTGACAGTAAACTGATAGTACTTCTATCATTTGTAATTAAGATAACGAGTTAAGTAAACTTCTAGAAATCCTCATTAGCTCTCATTCAGTCCTTGTATCCATCATCTAATGGAGATCTTAATATAAACCTTCCTCAGTTAACATTTCCCTTTTCCAAAATATTATAAATCACCAAGACCAGATTAAAAAAAGCAGAAGTGGAAACTGCAATTAACAAATTCATGCAAATTTATTTCTGTCAACAGAGAAAATGTCTTTACAGAAGAATTCATCTCATGTGTTTAATTGAAATGCAAAAAAAATTAAAATTTTTACAAGAATAAATGTGCATTATGTAGCTTATCAAAAACTTAAAGCACAAGGTCTTATTATTGCCAGATATAATATATGGGCATTGGTTTACTTGCTGCTATGATGTTAGAGTAAATAAGCCATATCAGCGGTATGTTTACAAAATTTACTCAAAGATATTTACTAACATGGCTAACAAAAGAAAAATTTGGAACAACTAACAACATTTTGAGGTATACGGCTTTTTCAGCTGATTGATTATGTTCAGAATGTTTATTTAGGATGTGATTTACAAGATCAGATCAATTCTGCCAAAAGGATTTCAACTGTATTCATACACAAAATCCTAAACAGTAAACAATAATGCACTGTACGGTCTCGTTTGTTAACATAGCGTAAGCTTCCCAACTTCCCAGCCTGCCATGCAATAGTTTTCGGTGTAAGATATTTTTGTTTTTAAATTCACACTTTAAAAATTCCTTCTTTAAAAGGGCTATTCTGGAGCTCAACTGTTGCTTTAATATCTGTCCTTTTTTATGCCTTATACTTTATACCTATCCTTTCAGCAACAATTCATGTTTAAGTAGGTGATTAGAAGCATTAAGGAATCTTTAACGCGACTAATAATTGGATGAGAAGTATTTAGATTACAGATGTCTCCTCCTAGATGTTAGTTCCATGCTTCTTGATACTCGTCAGCAGGATGCATTTAAAGCCTAGAAGGAACTGGTGTCTTGTTTGAGATTCCGAACCGCACTGCACAGTTCTGCAGTCAGAGATGTTTCTACTGGAGTATTTGGGTCACGAGTGATCTCATGTATGACTGGGTTAGATACATTGTTTGGTCACTAAGGAGTGATCAATTTCATGTTGTCTAGTCCACGATTCTGATCGGAATCTACCAATCACTTTGTAGTGTAGCTTCCAAGCTAGCAGGCTTCTAAGCTCGTCACAAATAAAAACGACAAATAAACCGGAGTAACAGCCGTAATAGATGTGTTACATTCCAGTAACCATAGCTCAAAAAATTAAAAACCATAAGCAGAAGAATCTAAGGGCTAAACCATATGATGAGTTTTGGATTAATACAGTAGTTCTACCATTCCGCGTAACCGAACAGCCATAAAGGATTCTAAGAGAACACTCTCATAAATGCTTTAATTCTTCTCAAATCCACACAGAATTGTCCACAAACTAGACCGTGTCGATTGTGTTGCTTATTCTTTTAGGTAATCATTCCATGAGATCATTTGTCCTAAAGAACATACACAAAACGATCTACTAATAATGTTGTGAAACCGGAGAATTTACAAATCAAATTGACAACTGCTGTTCATGCCATGGTCACAAAACCGATGTCGAAAATTTTCAAATTATTCAAAAAGATATTCTGACGACAAGGCGAACAGCTAAGGCATTTATCCTTATGTTGAATCATAGTGAGATAAACTGCAAGGAAGGCCTAACTGTCCAGTCAATTTGAACAGTGTATCCGAAGTCACACATTGCATACAATAGTCATAACTAAAATACATAGAAACCAAAAAACTAAATTCTGCCTTCGTAGTGTTTTTCTCACACCTGCACACCTATTTACTCGTGCACATGCATCTTCATCTTGAACTCACGGACCAATAACTGATCACGATAACACTTCTTCCCATACCATTAACATGTATGAACAATGCCATCTGATTTATCTCCATTTATTTTTTAAACATGGTATAACTTGTACAGGTCTTATTCTATTGAAGAAGCGACTTTCACAAGGTTGCGAAACGTCAGAAATTTATTTCCCATCTCACTGGGGTTTTACAAATATATTTCATCTATATTCCATTGGCCCAATGCTTAACTTATTCAGCTCTAGCAGGTCAAAATTTGATCTCGAAGTCTGTAAATTCATGTTTAAGTTGAATTCTTTTCCATTGCTACGGAAGGTGAAAAAATTAGCATCAGGATAGGTAACAGCTTAAGACATATTTTCACTACTTCAGTAGTAAAGTTTTGTGTCAAAACCATATGTAATAGTCAGTACAGATAATGATGAATAATAAGCACCATGTGGGTCAATAAAGTTGGCTATTAATAAAAAAGTAGAACACAGAATGAGCAAATGAATTTTCTCTAATGAGGACGACTAACGTCGACGAATATGAGGATGTCCTAAAAGATCCAGTGAGTAATTTATTATCAGACGTTCAAACCAAGAATTTTAAGTGAATCATAATAAAGGAATGAAATCCTAATGGTGTCAATGTTTTTCTATGTTACAGCCCGTGAATTTACGTCACTGATTTAACCTAATGGATCTGCCACTGATAGTAAGTGGGTTCCTGTGCAGATGTCTCGATATTGCCTGCATTTTTGTTTTTGGTATTAATGATTCAGTGATCTAATGGAAACCTCTAACATTTGAAGCGATATGTCCTGGTTCCCAACTTTAGTGGGAACGAGATTACTCACTAGGAAGCCAGTACATCCAGCTGACGATTCCTAAAGAGGACGACACACGCGTCCTGGATTTCAGTGCAAGCCACCACTGACCTTTGGTATTAACAGAGACAATAATCAAAAAGACTATTGAAGCAATAGTAATGTATAACTTGTAAAATAGCTACAGCGGTAAAAACACTGAAAACAGTTTCCCTGTGAACATATAAGTTGGGCCTTAAATGTTTAATAGCTTCTGTTTCAGCAAGACGCCTTGGCTTGAAGCTTATCTACTAATTTATCTTTTGTTTGAGACAATGTATGGAATTCGACATCGCATTCACTCTCTAGAACATAACCAACTATGTTGCTACTGAGGACTCCTGCACACTTCAGCTGCAGATACTGTACAGCTCGCTCATTCAAATGAACAGGAACGCTTTCGAATGTTTGTTCTTAGGCATATACAAAAGAACTAATAGATGTAACTGAAGGTAACACTGAAAGAGAACGCTTCAATAATGACTGATTTAGCAACTATGCAGTTCGATTTAGTGTAGCTAGACCAACAGTCAAGTAATTTCTGTTCAATATGGCAACATTTTTACACTTAATTCTTCTAAAAATTCTATCGAATGTCAAGACAAGTAGTGGAAAAATATTTTTTTATCGATTGCCACTTATCACTATTTCAAGTTATTCTTTACAATAAGTATCGGTGAACTTTTCTGTATATTGATCGGCACGAAATCAGTTTTACTTAGAGCAACCTTCAGATACTAGTTAGTGCCATTCGCCGATTTATCAGATACGTTGTTGTCTATTGGTTTGGATGTTCATCTTGTGACAAGTTAGAGAGGGGATTATCATGGTTAGTTACTAACGCACCGCTTCATATCGGTTAAATCACGTTATCCCTTCTAGCATAGTCATAGTTACTTTTTGGATAGTAGAAACATTGTTTCATTTGGTTCATCAAATATCTGGGCCTATGTTTTAAGCTATTTAGTATCGCAGCTTCTCTAAGTTCCCTAATATTACAGTTTATCTTAATGGATTTTCAACTGCTAAGTAAAGCCAGAGGATTCCGTGACTAGACATGGCTTAATTTATAGTCATCGCTATTAGGGTACATCCTAAACCGGCGAAAGGCCTATACATAAATTTGAGAATCAGATTTTCTCCAATCGACTGCATACTACGAGTAGTTACCAACAACCTGGTCCCCAGGAATATAATTATAAGAAAACTGCTTCAGCTTGGTTTCACTTCTCATCAGTCACATTGTTTTTTCAAACATTCAGGTGTATTCATATCCTGAGCTCTCAGATAAGAAGCTGAAATATTCATAATCCGTTACTGAATAACCTACTTTCTGTGAAAATAGCCGTTAGACCAACTATTTGTTTCATAAGTGGGCAAAAAATAACTCTTAAACAGCGCGGTGCTTGTCTAAAGTTAGAACTATTTGAAAAATTCTGCTTAACAGATACCTTTGGTGTTAAACACTTTAGGAATTAAAACAAAAACTTAATTGAAAATTGACTTAAATCATTTTCTATACATTAGTCAAACAAACGCTCACTATATACAAACTGGCTTCTGGAATAGATCAAGCAGTTCAATAACTAGCTGGTGGAGTACTCATTCTGGTTTAGACTTATTCTAGCTTCAAAGAAACCAAATACACAAATTTTCCTTCATATAAGTGACTAAACCACTTCAGATATGTTTTCTCAAGTATGAATAAATTACAAGTGTCCACAATTATTTTCCATCTTGTTCTG